AGAATGAGAGTAAAATGCTAGGCCAGCCTTCTCCAGCCTGGTGCCCTCCGCAATGTCAATAAATCAAGACCAATGGGTGGAGTTGATGGGAACTGTAGTCTAAAATATCTGTGGGGCATCATGCTGGGGAAGGTCATGCTAGAAACATGAACGATGGGCACCCATTGGGGCAGGTTTACATGTTTTGGTATAAACCTCTTTTCCAGGGGTGGAGGTCCTACTCACTCACTCTAAATAAATTGAGCCACTGGCTTAAATCTCCCCACCCACCTTGCTGGTTTTTAGCATCTTTTACCCCAACCTATATGTTCCCAGTATGCTTTTGTTCTGAGAACAGATGCCAGTGATAAGGTATATGCTGTGCAATCTCTACAGATTAATATTATTAAAAATAATATTAATATTCTCTGGCATCATGTTTAAACCAGCTTCAACCCATTTGCCAAGAAATCAGTTGAATTTAAATCTCACCAATTTCATTGAAAAGGATAATGCAATCCTATGTGGGTTTACTTGGATCTCCCTCTGAATACAATTAAAATTGTTCTCAAATTAAATGTGCACAGAATTACAGCATCAAGTATGGTAAACATTCTCTGGATTACAGCCATTCATGTCTATAGGACAATAGCAGTATTAAAAATGAGAGTCCACAAGAGATAGAAATTGCACATCATCATAATTATTATTATTGCCTCCCCATTTAATTATAGGCCCAGTTCTATTGTAGTTCTGCTATGTTGACAGTAATATGCGTAAGTGGAAATGGGCAGAATGAAGCAACATGTGTATTACTGTACTGTGGCTTAAAAACGGCATATTAGTATCCATTTTTCATTGCAGAATTAATTGGTGCTGAATGTATTTTTCATACTTTATTCTAAACTGGAGAATTCACCTCTCTGCTTTAGTTCTTGGTGGAGGAGTTAAATCCTGGCTTTCTTCTACTCTGGCCCCTAATCTCATTAAATACCAGGAAATCTAGTCAATATCCTGTATGAATTGTTTTCTCCAGACTGATGCAATTGCCAGTAAATAGATGCTTTAGCCACAGCAAGGAAGCAGTCTACCTGTGAGCCTCAGCCAGAGAAAGAAAACAAGTTCATCTGGAGCCATAATCCAGTTTGGCTTTTGTGGGGAGGGGAGGAAAGCATCCTAAACACTGAACGATTTCCTCTCTCTGTCTGTGTCCACATTTAACATGGGTGAAAAAGCACCAATGTTCACGTACCTTTCCCTTGTGCTCCAAAGCCAACCCATCTTAGCAACACAAAAGTGTTGACATTTTTGCTTGCCTATCCTCATCAGCCCTGTGGAGGTGAGGAGCAGCAATCTATAGAAGCGTGCATTCATTGGTAAGAGGCATGCAACAAAAGGCGTTTGCCTTGTCTCTGCTCCTGCTTAGTGCAAAAGGATGGAGAAGCTGCTGGGTGGGTGCAGAGTAAGATACAGCATTAAAGGTGGGGGATGGGAAAACAGGCAGAAGTTGCTATTGCTCATGAGGAGGGTCCAAAGTGCAGGGGCTGCAAGCAGATTGGCATGCAGAAACTAGGTCTCTGGTTCAGTTCCTGGCATCTCCAGTTAAAGGATATCAGGTAAGAGGACTGGGAAATACCTGTCATGGCACTGCTTCCAATCAGAGGAGACCAGACTGGACAAGATGGGCCAGTTGCCTGACTTGGTAATAAGGTGGCTCCAAAGAGTTCTAAAGTTTGCACTAAAAAAGCAAAATAAAAAGAGACCAGGAAAAACCCCAAACAAAAGCAGCAATACACCAATGCCTATAAAACTGGTTGTCATACAAGGTATTTAATAAGCAATGAAATGAGACAAAGAAAAAAAGAACCCCATTAGAAAAAATATAATAAATTACTCAGTATATTAGAATAACATTTTTAGCAGCTAACACCAGCTCTTGAGGCCTTTTGTAGGTCCAAAGAGAGATGACCAATTTATCAGCACAGGTATAAAATGTTTTAAATGCTCCACAACATTTCCAGCTATGTGATACTAACATTAAAAAAGCTTATGACCTGTCAATGAATTTTTGCATTGATATTATAGGATTTTTTTTTTGTTTAGTTTTGGGGTTTCATCAGGTGTTAGAATTTAATTGATGGGAGCATCCAGCCAAAATGGAGCACTTTTATTCATTGTCCATTTTAGTGGGACATTAATAAGCACATGGTTAGCTTTCCTGTTTAAGTCAATGGTAACTAAACTTTGGCTAGATTGTACCCTTTGGTTTCTGCCATTCCTTATTCTATGTAATATTAAATAGTATTTTATAATAACATTTGGAGGGTGATCATCAAAACGATGGTGGCTTTGATCCAGATCTAGACAGAACAGTTTGTGGCATCAAAAGACCTAGATGGGCATCATTATACAAATGCAGAGGTGCATCCCAATTTTCATCTAGAGCAGCTTCATGCACATAACTCTGCATTTGCAGGAACGTCCCCCTTGTAAGCCTGGGGTGATGGTCTAAACACTTGTTCCCCAAAGCTTTTCAAAAGCCTGCATGAACTCCAGCAGGACTTGCAACTCTTTCTCAAACAGTCAAATCAGGTCAGGTGACAAGGGATGAGGTCTTTTTGAGGCCTTCTTGAAGCCTTGTCTGGCTTAAATCTCATGTTGGCCCTAAATTCCAGCCATTCCTATACTTTGTAGTCCCTGCTGTTGGGAAGCTTGAGAACTTTTAGCCACTGAGATATTTTGCTTCCCTAGAGAGATGCCACCTGCTTTGGCTTTCACCACACTCCTTTCTCAATGGCATTGCCGGAAGTTGGGGATCCTTAGAAGATGCAACTGGATGAACAAGTTGGTGATGAGCACATCACTCTTGGTGTGCAGGTAAGCACACGTGCGCATGTATGCATGTATATGCAGAAATACCACAGAACTGGACTATTAGTTTTGAGGTCTTTCCATTATTTTTGTTGAAAAGGTAAAGTAAGTGATTTTTTAAAATTGCATTCCTGTTAATAATTCTTAATACTTAAAATAAAAACAACCATGGACCTTTGTCCCCACATCACTGTCTCATTGTAACTTTGGCACCTATTTTGAAGAAAGAAGCTTTAATAAATAAAGGAAAGGAAACTCATGACCGAATGGTAATAAATAATAATCATAATAACTTAAATCTCAATAAATATTTTTTCTAGATTTGTCTCTGACCGGATGCATTGCATCAAGTAGTCTCTGTTCACTCACAACAACCCAATTAGAAATGTGGTTCATTAAGTAAGTGACCTTAGTCCTTTTGTAAACCAAAGTAAGATCCATGTTTTTATGCTGCAGCCCAGGCAGGAACAAGTGATTAAAAGCACAACATGTTTTCACGGAGAACAGGAAAAGAGAACTCTTTACTTTCCCTCCAGCAAGACAGTAATCACTTCAGAGTTCAATACTAAGTGACATAAATGAATAATCCACCTCCTTTGCAACAGTTGGCTTGGGACTAGTTGTGCTTTGTGCAACTTTAGCTTGTTAACTGAATCCCCCTGTTGACGTCTCCCAACAGACTTAAAAAAAAATTTGCTGCCATCTTTGACCTGGGATTCCTATTGCTCCAATGGTTCTAGAGCTTGGGTGGTGCCACAGCTTTCCATTCCGTCATGTAACCCAAGAAGCCCAGTAGTGCATGAGAGATGTTTGTGCTGTGGTCCCTATCCAAACCAATGTTAGCCCATTTTGCTGTTCACACTGGTGTGGAGAAAAGCTACCGCATGTGGGTGTCTTCTGCATGGACTGAACCTTCTTTCTTCATTCCAACAAAGCGGGAAGGAGAAGTTTTCATGTAAAGGTTACTGAGCTAATTGGAATAATGAATCTAAATGATGTATTCTCAACAAACCCTTTAAACCATTTTCTCCAAGAAGTTGTTCCCGGGATTCCCTTGAATTTTATCAGGGGTTCCTTAATGAGAAAATCAGTGATGGCAGACACCTTTCTCTGAAAGGTAGTTTCTTCACCATTGGCAATCCTAAGCGTAGGTGTGGAAGATTAGGCACAGTTCTCAGTCTGCATGGAGCAACCCAGCTAAGCCCAACAAGTGTGGCCAGCATCCCCATCCAATACATCTTAGAACACACCTCTGCAACACGCAGGGCTCCCTGACCAATGGCCATGTCTGTCTATTAGTGTGCATGGGTGTGTGCAGGAGCTTCAATGAAAGCACTATTCCCCTTTGGCCAAAAATGCCCCCTCTTGAAGCAAGGACTGTCTTTTCATCAACCCTGTTGCTTCACTTCTTTCCATGTCTCTGCCTGCTCTGTAACCATTGGTTAAGGCCCAGTGGTAAATACCAGGTACTGCATCTGTTCAAATGATACAATTCTCACAGGTAAACATGGCTGATCAAACAGATGACTGGCGGAGATGGTTCTACCAGGAATAGAGGAAAGAAGGCATTTGTACCTGAAGGGTCTCTCACACTTTCCTGGCCTTTTACCATATTCTCTTTCTTAATGATGTTTCTGGATCATTATGATCTCACTGCCAATAAAGAACAAAACTCTCATATGAGCACCGCTGACCATCTCTTACTGGTGAAGGTCAAGTTGTGCCCATATCTAGAAGTTAAGGCCAGAAGCATCTGGTTATTACTTCTAATTCTACAACCAAGGAAAACAAAAAACAAATCAAACAGAGGTTGTGTTTTTAACCACCTGCCCAGCCAAATTTTGCTAATGGTGGATCACCTCCAAGCAAATGGTGTAGGTCACCTCCATCCCTCCTGGATCTCTGCCCCTGAGCATTGATGTCTATTTGCCTTCCTGTAGAAACCAAAAGCTCCAACGGTTGTATCTTCTCTGATTATCCTGTGCTGGATGTCAATCAACCAGGCTCCAACTACAGGTGTTCTCCTGTATGCTTGGTCCTCTTCTTCCTTTTTCCAAAGCCATCGCTTCATCTCCTTGGGAGCCTTGGTCCCTTCTTTGCCATCATAGCAGGAATGCAATATCATAGCAGTGTCCTAACACAAAAGGACGTCAGACGCATCCACATTTTTTAGCGGAATGTTTTCTCAGTACATGGTAAGTCGATAGGTCATCGTCCAAAAATGAAACGTCATCGTCGTAAGCAATGGGTCTGCAACAAGGCTGTGGTCTGATTTTGTCACTGACCAACTTTCTATTTTGGGTTAAATTGTTTAAAATTTGGTCATAGAGGGTTCCAGAGGTCTCACATGAACCACTGCAATACCGGAAGATCAGTTCTTCTTTGGTACTGTATCCCAAACCCAAGTCAGTCACATTTAAGTGCATCTCAGTTAAGACACAATCCCGCGATTTGCCCCTTTGACCCCTCCGTCCCTTTCTGCTGCCGGAATTATTGGTATTCTTTGCTGCATTTTGACGGTTTCTTTCCCGTTTAGAGAAAAACTGAACTGGTTTATCTGGTGACCTTTTCAGTCTTTTTATAGTGGTTTGAATAAAATCCACCACATCACTGAGCTGCTTGGGATAATCCTCAGGCATACTGGCTGTTTTGAAAAGACAGAAAAGAAAAAATTTGTCAGGTGAATATGGCTCTCCCCTCCAACCCTCCTCCCATTTATATATTTAAAATTAGTTAAATTGGCTCTGTAAGATCTTGAGTGACAGGTCTGCAACATTCAATTGTCCTACTAAGATTCGTGAATTTAAAAAATTCATCTGTAACACATGATGAAAGGCAATTTTCTGTACAAAGTTGATAAATTCTTTATCTTTCTTCCATTTGTTTTTTATGCAAATGCAAAGTGTTGCAAAGATTTAAACTTAAGCACTGATATTGAATGACATGCTGGGTGCAGTGTGCTGGAGTTTAAACCTTTTCATCAGATAGCTGAGCATTTTCAGTCCAAATTACATTTGCCTCATCTATTACTATTAATTTCATTTCTGTATCGCTCCATAGCAGAAGCTCTATAACATCTAGTGGTCCTTACATGAAAAATTAAATGGTGCGCATTTTGCATTCTCACAGCAGCTGAATGATTCCTGAACACAGGTGGGTAAAATTCTCATTTGTCAGAGTCAAATTCTTCTGTTTCTCACTTTTTACTGTAATCTGTTTTTAAAAGAAAATCAGCTCAACATTTATATTTAAATGTGTGTGTTCGTGTGCATGTGTATATTTTCTCCTCAAGATATGTGTACAAATGTTGATATATTTAAGTTGACCTCTTCCATTCCCTTCACACATGCTGGAAAAAACTCCCATCATCCCCAGACAGTACAGCTATTGACCTAGCATGATGGGCATTGTAATCTAACACACATGGAAGACGTCAGCTTTAGGAAAGCTGGTTTAAACTGACAAGGATTGGGTTGCAACATTCAGAGAAGTAGAAAAATTGGTAAGAGCCAAGTTCTGCTCTGTTCATTAGTCCAAGAGGAGAGCATTGGGCCATTCCACATCAGAATTCCTAAAGATCAGAGTCCTCAAGCAGCCTTTCTTTGTAATTTCACCTAGTATTTACTGGGCAGCTGTGTTTGGGTCCATCCAACAAATGTTCCATCTAATTGTGATGGATGAGAAGCTGCATCTCAGTGGTAAAGCTGTTTGCATATAACCAGTCAAATGTCCAATCCCTAGCATCTTCAGGTATGGCCAAAAAAACTTCCACCTGAAATCCTGGTTAGCTGCTGCCAGTCAGTGTCAACACTACTGGGCTTAGATGGACCAACCATCTGACCCAGCATAAGGCAGCTCCCTATGTTAAAGTGGACTTGTGAATCTCCCATTCTTTACTATGGGGATTGTACAGGAGAATTGTGGTGCTGCGCACCCAAAATCAACACCTTTGCTGCCCTCCTCACCCCATATAATTAGATGCTCTGCAACACCTGCCACATGAAGGTGTCCTCAATCACTGTAGTCTTCTGACCTTTCCATATAGCATGGTTTACAAGTAGAAAATGAAGCAGGCAGTACATAATACTGGCATATTGTAAACACCTTTTCAGCAATGTTGGCTATCAGAAAGGAATCAAACTTCACCTGTCAGCATGTGAGATGTAAAAAATTCAAGTAACATCTCAAATTAAGAACAGGGTTCATAACAAACTGTGTGACACTTGGGTGAAATGGAAACCCATGAGTGGCTTTCATTAATGAAATTGAACATCAAAGATCCCAAGGTCAAACAATCTTTAAATGATTCATGTTGTTTTGGTTGATTACCTTACTTGCTGGCTTGCTGCACAGACGGGGAAGCCAGGAGAACTCTGCCTACTGGCTAGAATTCCCACAAAATCTGACACTATCACAGGTGTCATCTCTTTTTCTCCTCTTGTCCAGGTGACGTGTTAAATGTCGTGATGCAGCTCATTTCTCATCCACTTACATGAATGGCAGTGCTGGAAAAAACCAGCACAGTGCAACTGTTTTTCCAGTTGTGGTTCCAGGTGCATCTCTCTTTCTATGAGACCTCAGGTCAAGGCTAATCAGGTGAGAGAAGGAGAAACCAACAGGCTCTTTTTATACCCCAGACACAATGGCTGCTAAGTTTCATACAGAACTTATTAGGTACAGGAAAACAGGTGTGGGAGCAGGTGCACCCAGGAAACTTGGGTTCTGATCCCTTCTCAGCCAAAATATCCCTCTGTGTATCATGAAAGGTGGCCAGGTGTCCTCTTTTATAGAGGACAGTCTTCTGTTTGAAGGGCTTTCTAGAGGACCATCCTCTGTTAGACAAAGTGACCTGTCCAATCCCAGTCTAAAGATAATTAATCATCAGTCATGCTGCCCATCAGCATGTGAACCACATACGGAACAAGGAGGCACCTAAGTTGCCTGGTCATGGTGTTCCCCAGTGTGGCAAAATGTGCTATATTCTATTTCAATTATGCCTGACTTCACATCTATACATACATCAGCATATGGCTACAACCCTAAGCATATGCAAATACTATGCAAAGCACTGTAGTCTTCTTTGGTGATTCATAAATAGCTACCCCATAGTAGCTTCCTATCACATATTGGTTGTGATAAAGGCTGCAACCCTTTTGCAGGCATAATTTGACTATTAAATAATAGTACATTTCACTATCCAGCATTATTGACTCTTATTTCGAAGCATCCAACCATAAAACTCTCCAGATTTGTGTTTACATCAGTTTTTGCATCTGTGAAGCTAGCCTCCATATGACAAGAGCAGAATCTGCCTTTCATGCTGGATTGACTGGATGAGGTGTGATGGCAGCAAGTCCACTGATTGGAGTAGGGTTGTAAGTGGGGGACGCTGCCCAGGTGAGGCAAGCTGAAGTCTTCTTGCTTCCTTCCACCTCCCTCTGGGACAGGGACAAAACACCGGGATAAACCAAGACTGTAAAATGGGGACAGTCTTCACACCCCAAACCACATGTCGGTTTTGTTCTAATAATGCCCCCCCCCCCTGCTGTGACTGGGGCAGACCTGGGTTTGCCAGCATGCTGTACGTGTAGCGTGCTGAATGTGGATATTGGAAACCAACGTCCAAATCCCCATCCCGCTATGAAGCTTACTTTTCTAAGCATAAGCAATATCTCATTCAGGAAGTGAAGAGGGTATTTATATCTGCCTGATCAAGCTATGGGCGGCGGATGCATTCCTAGTTGGATGAGGAATCACGGGGCAAACGGGTGTTGGGCACGTTGTTCCTTCTGATCCAGCTGCCGGGCTGCATGCACAAAGCTCTGTTAGGAAATCGGCCCCTGTGCCAGCCAGCTATTTGAGGGAGTGGAAGCCATGGAGCTGGTTCCGTTGCCGCTGCCGACAGCGCAGCCGATCGGCCCACCTGCTGGAGGTTCTTTCCACCCAGCCCTGGCCAGTGCAGTGCCGGGGGTCAGTCCCTCTTGTACCTGCAATCTGTGAGTAGACTTTGCCACCACTTTCTCCCAGCTCTGCTCCTCTGTGTGGCTGATACCTAGTTTTGAGCCACATGCATTATTCCCCATCCATATGCAATCATCGGATTCTGTGTTGGTTGCATGGCAAGCAGGGGAGAGAGCAGAGACAAAGGTATGAAGAAGCTGGTGCTCTCGGTCTGTCTCACCTCCTTGCAAGTCATCAGCTGAATAAAGCAACATTTCAGCATCAGCACAGATTAATCACTTATGCAGCAGGGAACCTTTTCCACCTGGGGGCCCAATTCAGTTCACAAGTCCCCATTGTAAATTGAATTGAGAAACATTTCAACTTTTTAGAATGAGGAAAAACTGCACAGAAAAACCAAGAAACAATTTCTGGGTGGAGGAAAGAGGACCAAAAAAAAAAAAAAGGATGAGGCCATCTGGGACTCCTGGTGGAATGGATTTTGCCCACAAGTCTGAGGTTTCCTGTTCCCATTTCATGACCTCTTCTACAAAGAAACAAACAGATTTTGCAATGCAAATTTCTGCATTCAGAATCTGTTACACAAACCCCTAAATAGTGTGCAGATGTGCCCATTTTATGTAAACATGGTCAACAGCTTCCAATAGTAAACCTCCCACCACTCCAAAAATCTCCTGTAATCCACCAACTGAAGTTCTGAGTAGGTTTGATATTGTACAAAGCAGCAGTTTAGTTCAAGCTGCGGAGAGCCCTCACCTCACATGTGTGCCAAACCAATCCTGGAGACCTTGCATCTCTCATGTCTTCATGAGCATTTGCAAACGCATCTCCCCAGCAACAAGGCTGAGAAGTTCAAGAATACAAGTGGTGTGACTAGGGAACTGGCGTGGCCACTGGACACAGAAGCAGAATGCAAAAAGGGAGAGGTAATAGGGCTAACCCATGTCCAAGATGGATAGTGATACAACTCAGCCTCAGATATTATGCACTATTAAAGCAATATATTCTATCCTGTTTGGAAAAGAGAATACATTTTCACTAGACAGTGGATGAAAAATCTGATTTCAGCTGGCAGGGCAGGGCAGGGCAGGGCAGGGCAGGGCAGGGCGGGTTAGTGAGAGCAACATTGTATGTTGGGCCCACATTTCAATGGTAACACAATAATCTATATTCAACAGCTTGTGTGGGGAGGAGACAATTGGAGATCTGTGACTGTGGCCAGCAGTAAGCTGAGGTGAGCACCCTTTTGCCCCCAGATGTTTGCAACTGCAGCTCCCATCAACCTCAGCCAATTGTTAGCAATTCTGGGAGTTGTAGCCCCAAACATCTGGATGGCAGGTTGCCTTCTCCTGTTCTAAGTTAACACGCACACCCTTTCAAGCAATTATTTCTTAGCCTAGCTTCCACCAACTGGGCTGGTTGGGTGCAGAAATGTGGCAGAACTTTAAAACACGTTAAGCTATCAAATGATCAATAGCAAACTGCCCTGTTTATAATTCATTGGAGATAAAACAATAGAGCGATACGAGCCGTGTGCTCTTCAGGCTTTGTTGGCAAGATCTCTTCTATGTAAAATGCTTTTCATAACGTTCTTTAGTTCTGCCTAAGGCTGCCAAAGGTAGATTCCCAGTAAGAACCGTGCTGTCCTGTAGAGCTTCCGTTCGTGCAAGAGGCTCTTCAGAG